AGACGGAGATAGAGTCCCATCTCCGAAACGTCGTTTTACGTTTTATATTTACTAGACGATGGATAATATCCAAGTAAATTTTTATTCAATTGTAGCTTATAGTTTAATTAATTTTGAATCAAGGCCACTTTATGTGAAGTTGACCTTATTGAATTATGAAATGCTCGATCTTATTAGAAGTTTGAAACGTCGAACGTGGCAGTTTATAGTTGTTACAAACTTGTGTTTCTCTGTTGCGTTTTAAATTTGACCCAAATACTAAAATAATGGTATGTCTACAGCAAAATCCATAATTTACTTAATTCTTTATGTTCCATGTTTCACAACTGTTCTATTTTCCTGGTGTCCACGACTAAAGATACTATGTCTACAGCAAAATCCATAATTTACATAATTCTTTATGTTTCACAACTGTTCTAGTGTCCTGGTGTCCACGACTACAGATATGTGGCGCCTTCTTTGTAAATATCTCAGGATAGTTCGATCTGAAAATTCTTACATAAAACCGTTTTAATGAACAATTATTCCTTCATGTTTCCAGCCTTTTCTTTTTTTCATTCTTTAAGCCCCATTTTGCTTTGGACACAAAATGGACCGAAATATATCACCGTAGAATAAGCAAAATACAATTAAATAAAGTTTGTGAGTGACATTTTTTTTTGTCATAAGAAACAGAGTATATTGATCCTTACACAACATTCACCGCCATGTAACTTAAGCATTTGAAAATCTTCATTAAATAGGCATACAAGGATCAATTAGTGAAACTTGCAGTAAAAAAGCTTCGTATAATAACGTAACACGACATTTGGTCGGCTTCGTTTAGCGTCTTATATGCTTAGAATGTTTAGTTTGTGAAGTGTTCATTTGAAATTTGTTTAAAATTTCAAGATTATTTTCCAGTGAAATTTGTTCAAATGCCATGATACTAATTTTCTCGTATTAATTCAGAAGAAAAGCACATTACAGACATAATCGTGTCAGTGCGATAAATCAGCTGATGCGCATTTGAATAATAACAACGCAACAGAAATAACGGTTGTTACGTCATCGAGAAGTATCGATAGTTGTTCAACAAGTCGATAATACTCCGTAAGTTACAGATCAAAGTAACAGATTTATTATTATCATGCTCGCTTACTACCTAATAAATTGTTTTTTGGCTTTTCTTTTATTATTTTAAATTATTTTTGTATTTCGTTCATTAGGAGACAGATACAAGGCTCTGGATATTGACATAATTCATGAACAATGTTCACATCAGGGTTAAAGAGTTCGATAATCCCCCACTCCGTTGTTCATTTGCCTACCGAGTCAACGAAGTAGGAGCAATGTTAGTAGATGGCGTTTCAATGTCAGTCCGTGTCCAGCCCCCACGCATGCAGACCGGACTTGTGTCCAGTTATTAGGTTTAGCGCCTAGAGGGCACCGTAGTGGTGAGTGCATGTGTATTCATGTCTGTCGTGTAGTTGATACACGTTGAGTTTCGTATTTCTAGGACAGTGGTATGTGGTGTAAACAGTCCAGGTGTTTTTTGGTGTCGAAACGTGAATTAGTAGAAGTAATTTGAGGTGTACATGATTTGAAAGAAAATGAAGTTGTGGAATACATTAGTGAGCGTCTCAAAACTTCTATACATCCTAAAATAACGTACTCTCTCCACTGTGAGCAACATATGTAAAAGTATGACATTACATCGTGTCATTGTTACTCAGATTTTTAAGTAGGACAGCTTTTCTCTGGTACCGCTCAGAGAACATGACAAGCGACCGTATTCACACACGGTTTATTAGTGTCCAACTTTATCTCATCGTTGGATTTTTATTATGTTACTTTGACAAGGTCAGTGTTAAATATTGGTTTTTATCGTTTACCCACAATTTAGTAAATAGTGGATTATTAAAAAGAAAAACACGCGGGCCCGCGAAGTTAAAAAACTTTTAGGAAAGACCACTTGTGGGTAGGCACCCCTATAAAATTTTAGAAAGTACCATTCTCAACTTGGGGGAGGGGGAGCTGATTTTTATAAAACTTAAAAAAGATGTAAAGCAAACTGTTGCCCTTAATATTTTGAATCTGTCATTACCATTTGTTGTAAATTAATATTCTACCTAATTATCAGAACTACAAATGAACAGTAATCATTGTAATGCTATGGGTAGTGATGTAATGAGTTTTTTGTGGCCAGTTCATGGATCTTGTACCAACTGGAGGTGGTTTCAAACCAGATGTTTTTATTTGAATTTTGTAATTCAGAAGACATAATTCTCCCAGTTATTCATTTTGGACCATTTTGTAGTCATGAATGACCACTGAACTTGATACAGAATTGTTATCTGGTTGAGGTTTAAGGGTTGTTTTCCTAATTCAGTTACCAGAACCAGTTTCCTGTTATATATATATGCTATTTGTACTAACAAAATTTGTGTATAAGATGAGTCTTGAAGTAATTTTCACCTGTTATCAATGCTTAATTCAGTGTAAATACAAATTAACTATTAACAGTAATATTATTACATCAGTAAATCTGCTTGTCCCTAAGAGGGAAGACTGATAAAGGAAAACTGGAATGTGTCGTCAGTCATTAACCTCGTAATGTGTATGTGCTCACATGGCGAACACTTCACAGAGCTCGTTCGTTCATTCTTTGTTTCCGGAATGTACCTTAAGACCGAACTTTAAAATTTCATTTGGCCTGTTCAGTTATAAAGAACTTGAGGTTTTCAGGATGTAAATTATTTAATTTGGTTTTCATAAACTTCTAAGTGTTCACTGGCATTTTCTTGATTAGTGGACTATAGCTACGTAACGAAGTAACTGACTAACGAAAGAAACACTTTGCATCAACTCTCAAAACCAGTTACTCTAAGATCCATCTCAATTGTATGGATCTACATCCTTTGTTCTTATCTCAGTGCATGTTCCTATGAGGTTTCCCCACAAAAATTCTGGATTCATTCCTAATTTCATCCTTTGTTCTTATCTCAGTGCATGTTAATATGAGGTTTCGCCACCAAAATTCTGGATTCATTCCTATTTTTTTTCTGTCAGTGCCTCTCAAATTTTGCTACACTAACAAAAGCACGTACATGACACATATTTTTTAATGGTTTTTTTCACAATTGCTTAATTACACAGACTTGGATGATACAAGCATTGATTCTTCAGAAGGAAGTTGAAGGACATCTTAATTGATCCATTCTCTGTTTCTCAGGCATTCTTTGAATGCGTTCATAAACTTAACACATATTTTCTATGCCTGTTCACGTATTCCAACTACGAAACTACTAATTGGATTTAGATTAATAATAAATTTGGTCTGTATCTGTCCAACGTTGCACCTGTTTTATGTGAAACTCAGTAGAAACTTAATTACGTTTATCGAAATACGATTTGTTATACAAATAAATGCCAGATCACAGTAAGACCCAAAAGTTTTTGCCTGAAACACTTTTGGAACTTGGGATTAGTTAACGATGTAGGCTTTGCAAGTGAGTCAACTTTTGAGCCCTGTGATTTGTGATGCTTATAGCATGATTGGCTTTGCAGGAATAGATTTTGTACCCATCAATACCAATGACGTGTGAGATATAGGCAAGGACGCTTTTGGCAAAGTGAGTGAAGGAAATGTTGACCACCCCTGATGAGGATGTGTCGACAGAAGTTCCAGGCCATGATCCCGTAAATCCAATCACTATCCCATGCACATGCCGTCATGAAACATTGTCGTATGTGAAATAAAATAAAAAAAAAGCCTGCCCAGACCATGAGACTTAAGTAATGTTTTATGAACCAGCAAAGCAGCTGTCGCTTGTTTGATGTCAGCCTGAAGTTCTTTCACGACTACGTAAGTCACATGACATAGGAAGTGTTACCAAATCAACAACGTTTGCAGAATACGCAGATTTCAAACGTATTCTTTCCAGAATTATCATCCCTAATTGGTCTTGATGTTAATTTGTTGTATATAAACTAAGTACTAAGAGTGTTCCACGAGATCCTTGAACGTACGACTCAAATTCATCTTCCTTATGAAACCCAAAGGTTTATTATCTCTGATGTATGTCCTGTGTCAGGTGAATCCGGTCTACACCCTCATATGAAATTTATTTTCAAGATCAAAAAATAAAATAGTGTAGTTGCGTCATATTGTGATTTATTAAATTAAAATTAAATTATTTGGTTATTCCGTCAAATCACAATGTATTTAAAATAAGATAATTAAGATAATTAAAATATCATTCTGTGTTCCATATCGAATAATCGATTTACAATTGTAAATCGATTAAATCGATTATTCGATATGGAACACAGAATGATATTTTAATTATTTTAATTATCTGATTTTAAATACATTGTGATTTGACGGAATAACCAAATAATTTAATTTTAATTTCAATATCAAGTTTAACGACGTCGAAATACAGGGCCATTACCTCTTCATATAACAACATAATTTTAATTATAAAGGTTAACGTATACACTTCGTCTGAATGAGTTTTGTAAACATTTATTTCTGGCGTTGGTGTTGAACGCTGGAGATCTGTAGTCCGAGACTGGTAAGTTTGTCCCTGGAAGGAAATAGGGTGACGAAGACGAGGAGTGCGAGGGGGTTTGACAATCGTTTGCAACCAACGTGACCGTCAAAACACATTTACCTGTTCTTTCTGCGAAGGATATAAGACCTGACTGTACTTGGAATCGATGGTTTTTGAACTGAGACAACACCGCACGATACATACAGCATAACTACCTTACCTACCCCAAATGCCGCATACCTGCTGAAGTCCCTCGCCCTTCAAATACGGCCACGTTTATACCAGAACAGGACAGTAGCGGTGGCCATGTTTTAGAGAAAGCCCCCATAGAATGAGGAAATCGAAAGTAATGTAATAATAACCAACCAACTAGATGGCTTAGGACAATGGTATTCAACCTTTTTTTGTTCGCGTACCCCAAGTTGAATACCACTGGCTTAGAGTACCCGAAAGTTCATCACCGAATTAACCAAAGCCCTCCATCAGACTCTGTCCTGGGCCAACAAAATCCAGTCTCCATCAACTCCTATCTCCCATAGATCCCGCCTGAGATTATCCTCCCATCTACGTCTAGGTCTCCCCAGAGGTCTCTTCCCCTCAGGCTTCCCAAATAGTGGACCCAACCAACCAGATGGCTTACCGAACCCGAAGGTTCATCACCGAACTAACCAAAGCCCT